GCAGCAGTGAAGGCAACTGCTGTGCACTCAGAGGCTGGGCTGTTCAATTGTGTGTAGTTAACAGTGAAAAAAGAAACAATGAAGAGGTAAGAGGCAGAAAAGCATCTTCTGACAGCTAAGAAGGTGCTAGGGGAGGAAGGGATGCTTTTGTACCAGTACTGGGCTCAGGGAATTGTCTTTGTTTCTTGAAGATGTCACGTGTTTGACCTCAACTTCCTCAACTTTGACAACACGTTATCAGTATGAAAGTGGGGACCACTAACTAGCAAGGTGCATAAACAGCCCTTTTGTGGGGTTGCAGGTTTTTTGGAAATAGGAGATTTTATAGCTTGTTAAAATGACTTTAATGAATGGTTTAAGTTTAGATGCAAGTTTCATGGCTTTAATGGATGTTTTCAGTTTTTTAATAACAATGAATGATTTGAATTGTTTAGGTTTTTTAACCAATAATGTGAAACCTTTGACCTTTGGAATGGAGTTAAGTATATCAAGTTTCCAACTGAGAAGAAAACGAACTGAAAAGGTGATCATCTGAAAATAGTGGGTTTTTTTTTAGTTAGTGGGAATTATTTCCTCTTCACATGTTGCAGACAGTGTCAAAAACAAGGTGAGACTTACCAGAAAGGTATCTTGCTATAGTTAATAGTGTAGTACGAGCTGCTGCCTCCAAATGCAGTTGCAAAACAGCAGGACTGGCAAGTTGGTGGAGTAGGGCAGTGTTTATGAATCAAATTTACCCTGGTTCTTTCTGTTATCCTGTTTCCTGTTTATATCTAAGGTCCTCACAGGATCTTACACCACCTCTTAGTTCCCCTTGGTTATCTAACACAGAGCTGTACAGGACAGTTCATGACTTCTTTTGTAATTGTTTCAGCAGCTGAATGATAACTCAGGAGCCTTCCATGGCTAGGACCTCGGTGGGGCTGTGGGTCCTCAGTACCCTCTCCCTGCATGAGAGTTAGAAGGCTGGAGAGAGGCGGGGGGTCTCTCTCTTTCTCTGGTCAGAAATCTGGAGACCCAGTCCTGTTTGACAGCAATCGGCTAAGATCCTGTCCTCAGAGTACACTTTCAGTATCAAACTGTGGATTGAGGGGGTTGCATAGGAAACTTGTCACCGGACGCTGTCTTTTTTTAGGGTGCTACGTCCTGCTTCTGGCAGGGCTCACAAGGGGTCAATGGTTCCCTTACACTGAGTAAACACACAAATGGAGCTTTGTTAGTAAGTAGTTATTCTCGCTGAGCAACTTGTGTACCAGATGTGTTTTGGTGGATAATTCTTGATCCTTCCAGTTCCTGTTAGACATTATTTTGGCATTAGCAGCTAGGGTTAGACTGGTGACTTTTCTGCTCTTGTCTTGGTACTATTCCTAATCAAGGAAAATTTCTGGTTTAGTTGTAAAGCTTTTTTCTAGCTAGCCATTGGTGTTATTTCTGTGCTGATATGAGCAAAAATATTATTGATAAAACTCTGTAGCTGCCAATATGCTTTTAGTGGAATGCATTTGCATTTGGTGGTCTTTGGTGCAGCACTTCCTGAGAGCAACAGATTGCTGTGCAATTTTTGCTAATGCACAGTTGGCCAGCATCCCCATATTTCTAACAACATCATCCGGTGTGTTATTTTCTAAGAGATTTTTTTACAGTGGTTTCTGAGAGAGCAGTTGTCCCTTTAGGGAACTGTGAAAAACTTGAATCGACTCTTACAACTCCTGCTTTTCATTCCACAAACTTGTTTTTTCATGGTCATAAAAGAAGAAAAGAGAAGGGAGAAGGTGATAGTGACAGTAATAGAAAGGAAGTGAAAAAGCTGTATGTTCTCTATAAAATCTTTGTGAAATCCACTGTTTCTGGAAATACATGCAGGTATATCACAATTTGTCTTTAATTACCTGGTTTTAAACAAGAGATTTTGAGATTCCAACAGAATTACTTCTCCAAAAACTGCTTTGATTGTGTCTTGTTCCTAAGGAGAACCAACTTTGTGATCTGTGCTGCCTTTTTTTTTTTTTTTAACAGCATCTCTACAAGTAATTATTCCAGAAAAGGAGTGATTCTTTTTCTCCAGAGTAAGAGTACCTCATTAAACTAATTCAGTGTAAGGCACTACTACTGTAGAAGTGAGTCTGTACAAGATGTTAAAAGGCCTCCCTCAAAATCCAAATTTCGTTACTTAACTGTATGTTGTAAGTGTTAAGGTGGAATGCCATTTAAGATTTTGATGATTGTGATTTAAAAGCAAAATTAGGTAGGATACCATGGTTTATGTGATTTATTAGGGATACACCTCCTTTAGAAAATAGCATTTTGGCATGTTGAGGGTAAAAGAACCTTTTGCTTGTCTGTGTTGTATTATTAGCATGTGCACTAAGGTTTTTGCTCTGCTTAAAATATAGTAGTCCCCTTTAAAACAAAGTAGAAAAGTGACTTTCTTTAGTTTGGTAATAAGTGGTGAAAAAATACTACTAAAGTAGCATTTCATACTTCTGCATTTCCTCGAGCTGTAGAAATTCAGTCTCAACTACTCCCATTCCAGTTCCTTGTAATACTTGTCTACGTATTAGATTATTTTTATTGGGGATTTTTTTGACTCTAAATCACTTGATTTAGAGTTGTGGGCTGAGATGTGTAAAGTGCGTAGTGGTAAAGTATCAGTGGTCAAACAGCTAACTGACTTTTCTTAGTAATAGTATGTCATGTGGGTAGAAATAAACAATGCATGATAGAAAAGAAGGTATTGATGGTGACTCTCTAATGATAAAAGGCACTTGAACATTCATGAAATGCTGAAATTAAATACCATCTCCTGACCCATACTGGAATGTTGGTCCTTCTGCAACTTCCCTGAATGTAATTTAAAGGAAAATGCTAGTACTGACAAAGCATGTTATAAAGCACAAAGCTAACCTTTATTTGTCCTTTTTTAAAAGAGGTGAATCAGAAAGCTTTTGCATAGTAGTCTCCGGAGATATCAAAATGATAACTCAGCAGTGGAAGACATTTGTAAGACATCTTTCTGCCTGTCTTAATTTGTGGCTCTGCTCTGCAAAAGAACTTTGTAAGAATGAAGCTTGACAGACGCTGTTTGAGTGATATCTGGGTGAAACTCTCGTCTTCTATTAAGAAGACGAGATAATCTGGGGAGCACCTTTCAGGTTCAAAGCCAAAGATTTTGGATACCTTACTGTTACTACTTGCTCTTCTTTCAGTGTGGTTCCATGTATTTAATTTTATTCACAGCTTTGAAGGCAGTTCAATTACTTGCATGGTTCTGTATTTGTAAAACATTTCCTTTGATGTATAAGGCACACAAGAGTCTTACATCAGTTTGTTGTCCCACAGAGGTGCTGATCCTTTGAGGCTGAGAGAATTAACTTCTGCTTTTTCACTGGAATTCTTAGATATGAATGGAAAAGTTGTGTGAAATAGATTTTTACAAGTAAGAAATTTTGCAAAAAGTACCACTTATTTAATGCATAACTGTTTTAAGCAGTGGGTATAGATAATCTTGTTCAGTTTCTAAGGGCTTACTTTTTCATTAGGTTTAAGAGTGCACTGGTGGCTTAGACTAGGTGTTTTCGCCCTGACACAGGGCAGGAATGTAGTGTTTCAAGTGGAGAACAGTAGCTTAAAACATAGCTGTAGGTAGGTAGATCCCAAGGAATTTTTGCAGTCGTATCCCTTGTGCTCTGTACATTTCAAAGTGTAACTGACTGGTGTGTCTGAATGGACAGTGTGCAAGGAATGTACAGGAATTGTTTGTGCATTTCAGAAGTATTTGAAAGGAGAAGGAAATATTTAAAAGGCAGCTCTTTCTGTAAGTGCCCCTGATGGATAAATAAATATGTGATGATTTATGACTTACTGTCCAAAGTTGGGGAGAACCAAAGGAAGAAATCTGGTGAAAGGATGACATAAAATACCTTATTCAAACCTGTGCTGTGACTATTTCAGAGATATTCAACACAATTTATTATAGCACTTAACCTGCAGTTTTCTTGGATAACAAGAAAAAATAGTATTATGAACAATTTTTAGATGTCAAGGCCAGGATGAAAGCGGAGGAAGTGATTTTTTTATTATTCCTGAAGTAATATTTTTTCAAGTAAAAAAAATACAGTGAACTACTGAATGAAAATGGTGTGGTATTAGAAAAAAAAAACTTTGCTCATTAGATAGGCTGGATATTATTAGTTATTTTTAATTTCATTTCTTTGTTTTTTGTTCCTAGGTCCTGTGCTGTTGCCCATGACATAATCATCTAGATAAATCTTTTCTTTTTCTGACTCTTATAATGCCTTTTGCCCCGTCCTCACTGTTTGTAACAGAGCTGATAAAACCAACCGTCTTCTTCACTTATCTTACTAGCCACTTGCATCTCTTTGAAGCTGTCTGCATAGACCTTTCTGCAGGCTTGAGGCTTAATGTAGACTTAGAACTGCAAGTGCAGCAATACCAGGTGTCCAAAACCAGGCACTAACAACCACCTCAGAAGTTTTATCTTCTGAGCGCTGGGACTTTTGGGTACACTTTCAAGAAAGTGTACGTATCGTGTTTAAGCTAAGTATAAATAACCCCATATGCATTCTTCAGTCATGGGCTTAGGATTTTTTTTCGGGGGGTGGGAGGGGCACGTCAGGGGGTTTTTTGAGGTTAGTATTTCTAGTGTATTCATCTTTGTTTTAGTGAAGATAACATCTGCATTTAAAATTTTGCTAACAAAAGCCTATTTGAAGTGCTTGCTATTTGCACAATTACTCTCAAACAGTGCCTGAATTTTATTGTTATAGCTGGAGCGCAGCTCATGTATGTTTTTATTGTGCACAGGTGCTTATATTTCTACTCTTTTTCTTGATGATTTAGGAATGCACTAGAAATAAAATAGTTGGTCTCACTGTTGAACAGTTTTCAAAGCCAAGAAAATACTGGGCATAATTTGCTTAATAGAGACATAGTGAAGTTACTTTTTTATTTTCTGTTTTTCTAATGTAATAGAAATCAAAGGCAGAAGAGAAAATCAAGTTTGGTATTTGAAAATATCAAAACTAGCACTGGCTTTTGCAATTATCCACTCAAAACCACCAGGGAAAAGTTGCAAAGAATACACTGAGCACCTTGCCGAAAGTGTATCCGAACAAGATTTTGGATGGAAATTGAAAGTTGAAGCGCTGGAAGCTGAAGTTCTTCGATTACGTCAGGAACTTCTCTTGAACAAGATCTGTCAGAGATTCTGCTTGGAAAATGGTATGTTTCTGAAATAATTTCTGACTATGTTGCAGTAGCAAGGAAACAAACAGCTTTCATGTTACCTGCACCATTTCTTGTTCCTAGATACCGAGAGTCTTTAGTGTACAGCTTTCTATTTTTCCCAAAGCCCTGAAGTAGTAGAACACTTAATTGATTTGTAATGGGACTGAGCTTAAGAATTTGATGCTTACTCAGAACTTACATTTTTAACCTTCAGAATCGACATGTATCATACGGAATAATTCCAGACAAAATTGTTAATACAAAGTATTACTCTATAACCTCAGATATACTAGTTTGTAAGAATATTGATGTACCCTATTTACATTTGGAACATGTCTTAAGGACATACTGCATTTTTTTTTTACCACTTTAAAGATGCTTAAAGTCAGAATTTAAGCCAATGTGTTGAAAGCATAAATCCCTAATATGTATAACAGAAGGTTGAGCCAGCAAAGGACTGTTTGTCTGCTATCTCTGTTAATGTATTTAGACTGTGGATACTGTGAATGTTTATTATGACATAAATTATTGTAAGTCTGATATTGTAGAATTCAGGAAAGGTGTCAGTTAAAGAATATGAAAAAAAAAATTACCTCAAACAGCACCGTTTCTCTGACTTGTGCGTGTGAAGTGAGTCATTCTCACTCTGAGAGATCAATGGCACAGGATGAGCTTGAAAGTCAGGCAGTGGAGGATGTCTCCATGCTCTGGGGAGATAATCCCCTGGGAGATGGAGGCCAAAACGCTCTGGGCTGAAGGAGAGAGACAGCTCACTGTTGATGGGATCTCTAAAATCCAAATGTCTAGCTAGTTGCTTTATGACTTGAGATTTTTAGAAGGTTCCCTGATAGAAAACTTGATGAGGCTTTACTGGAATGCTTTTGTACTGAAACGATAGCTTCTTTATTGCCTTGTGAAAAGATTTCTGGATTCTAACTTTGACCGAGAGGGGGAATGTATTCGACTTTAGCTAGAAGCTCTAATGATTTTTTTTTTTTTATAATAGACCTTTCTCTCTAGAGAAGTGATTTAATGATTATTCATACTTAGTTATTGTTTGTGTGTGTGTTCTCTGCAACCTATTCCTAACATGAATTTATTTAAGGGTAAAAGTAACTTTCAAGGTGCTGCTTGCAACAGGTGTCTTAATGTTGTGAAGAACTGATTGCATATGATGCATAATGAAATCAATTAATCTGCACTTCTGTGTTCCAAGTCTTAACTTTTTAAAGATTCTCTACCCCAAGCTGTTGAACTGAGCAATACTGATATCTCACTTGCCAAAGTAAGCTTTTCTAGTTGCGAGATAGGCGGAGAAAAGCAACTGTCCCTGGCGAGTAACACCTCTTCCAAAGGATGTTAATTTTCATTGCCCTAGTCACAGTGAAGTTTGTTCACAGACCTAAAATGTGGTAAGTCTTGTATAATTGTAGATGTCTACAGCTGCAATAAATCTTCTATGCTTTCTTCATAATCTCTACAGGGAAATAGCACGCTTACTCTACAGTTTATGATTCACTTGACCCATTGCGATATTCACTAATATGGATATAGTGAATTATGCACAAAAGACATCCCTCTCCATTCTGCTAGCAATAGGCTGACTGGCTTAGAAAAAGTCCCATGATTCGCAAATCACTTCAATAAGCTGCTCTTCATAAATAGCTCTCTTTATGTTTTATGATCTCAGCAGCCTGTTCAAACATGCCTTGGGTAGCTGACCAAGTCTCATTTTTCAGTGAAGCCAAACTTTAATTTCAATCTATGTTTAGCTAATGGATCATAAATAGTAGAGATGAGTATGTGGTATCTATAAACCTTCTATATTCCTTCAGTTTCTCCAGGGAACAAAACCAACACCTTACTAATTTGAAGGATTAGTGTGTAGCTGCTTTTCCCTTCAAATGTTTGTTTATATTTATGATTTCATTGTTGATAAACCTGTTAGACAGAAAACCTTTTGACATTTGAAATGTCTGTGGGAGTTCATGTCAGCCCCACCTGCATCGCATGCTGTCCAAGAGGAGTAGGGCGTAGTCTTCCCCTTCAGTTTCTCTTAACCACTTGGGTGTAAGAGTGGAAATGTGTGGAAAATCTGAACTGTATCATAATTTCTATTTCTTCATACAAGTTTTCCTTAACATTGAAAGGACACTTTTGAGGTCTTGGAGTCTAACTTTGAGACAGCCATTTTTTCTGATATTTCTTTCTTTTGACTCTTTCATTCTCCTCCCTCCCCCCCCCTTCTTAAACCTTGGTATGACGTGTGAACTCTCCTGATTGATAACGAATTTGAGCCATATGTTATTTTGGAAAGATGTTCTTCATCAAACAAGTATAACTGCTGAGTGAGCATTCATGGTTGCAGTTACATTGGAGACAAATGCTCAGTCTCTTGCTTTTGAGTAAAGAAAGGTCATTACTGATACCTGATGGGATATCTGTTGGTGAGATCTGTGCACTCTTCTGGTGATCCAGTGTCATGAAATACTGATTTAGGATCCTGCTGACGCCAGTTTGTCACAAGTGAGTGGTTTTGAGGCCGCTTAAAGAATCACTGACAAAGGTATCAGCAAAAGGTGATTTTAACAGAAATTTGTAAAAGTGTGACTTAACAGAATTCGATGGCAAGGTTCACTCTATTATTCATTATATGGATTAAGTATACACAGGGAAAATTGTGTCAGGATTCTGTTGGAATGATTTGTAGAAAGACCAAGAACAAAAGGATAAGGAAGACCCTCCCGTTGAGTCACGAGGTTCAGAGTAGACGCCCTTGTTTTCTAAATTCCTTCTGAGAGAGGAGTCTGGGTGCGGCTGGATCTACTCCTAGTCTCAGACCTGGTCAACGGTTTATGCCTAAGGGGTTATATATGTTTAGCAGCGACCTAAAGTTCATTCACAGTTTTAAGGTAGGTTATAAGAGTTTGACAGCACTTAATCATTGACTAATTTAACAGTTACAAAGCGAGTTCATCAAGTTTACTACAATTACTAAATTATAGATTATGCTTATTGTTAGTTATCTAAATCAGTACACACAGACACACAATAAAGATCTATTCACACACAAGGTCCCATAGCTAGATAAATTCATGAAAGACAAAGGCCTATAGCTAGATAAAGATACTGCTTAAAAATTCCCCTTGAGTCTGTGAAATACTCACATTAAATGCCTTGGCATTTCTCAACGGGCGAAGGGTTGAGCCCCGAGGAGTGTCTCGGCCGAGGAGTGTTTCAGCCCAGGTTCCGACAGTCCTCCGAATATCACAAACTCGAGAGTTTGTGAACTCTGAGAGGTGTCCCACTCAGAGGGAGACTATGGGCACAGCCCGCTGCGGTCCAGGAGAACTCAAAGGGTCTGGCTTGGGACCACTGTTTATAGGTTTGCCAGATGATTGGCTTTAGTCATCAGTAAATTTCCATCTTGGCCACTATCCGGTGTGGTCCGGGGTCATAATTAACTAAGTAAGGAACAAGAGCAGGGAATAATTCGTCATCTCTGACAGCCCTGAAGCATTCCTTACCCGGATCATAGCTCAAGTGGAACGATACCATGGTTACCATGGAACAATACCATAATTACTACCCCAGACCACATACATACATTGACGATGTGTATTAAGAGCAGAATACCCGTGGTTGACATTTAAAGGAAGATGGTCGTAGAAGCAAAGCCTACCTGAGATAGGGGCCACTCTACCACTGACATCTTCTGCTCTGGGATTAAAAATTTCCTCTCATGTGTTGTGCCAGTTTTGAGATTTTTCAAGCCCATGGAGATTAGAAGCTGAAGGTTGGCTACTGCTGTGATAGGAAGACTCAAGGAGCTTGCATCTAAGTTGAGAGGAAAAGTGGTGTAAGTAGTGTTCCATCTTGTTCACCTGAAGGCTACTATAGATCCATCAAGCCATTGTTACGGTTTGTTGTTTATGGTATATTGCCCAAGTTTGCTACCTAATATCATACCAAAGAAGTTCCCTTTAGGGCCGAGGATAACTGGTAATCTGTAGAGATCATGGATCCTTTTCCTCCTCCACTCGTTTCTCCAGCTTTATTTTTGGAGTTGGTGTTCTGCTTAAAACAATGCAACCTCTTGAAAGAATTCAAACCCTCAGCTTTTCTTTGGCTTTCTTGTGTTCTGCTTTAAAACTCTATAGATGCAAGAATACCAGGGTTTCACAAAATCCACCACCAGAAAATCTCGTGCAGTAAGGATCAAAAACTGCCATTTGTGTCTGCTGCTGCCTGTTGGGAAGTGAAGAGTTTGAGTCCTTCAGCCAAGGTTCACTTTGCACCTGTATCTTCCCTGCTCTGCATTCTGAGTGTGAGAGCTTTCCTCTCCCACCTGCTGTTTGTAATAATAATAGTAGGTCTTTCAGAAGCTTCAGGAATGATTAGAGACTGCCCATGGAGTTTTATTTCCCTGATGTGAGAAATTTGTGAGCTCTTTGAAGCTGTGACGCCTCTTTTCGTTCTCCCCATAAAGTTGCACACAGTATGGATGCACAAGCATTTGAAGGAGAAAGAACAAAGTATCCATTTTAAAAGATCTGTTGTCTAAATTATTTTTGTCCCACCTGACTAGTTCTTTGTCCTCAGAGATCCTAAAAAAGTTTGGGTTTCCTCGCTGAGGGGGAGGAGCATGCTTTGCTACAAGTAAACTGTTTGGTAGTATGGGTTGTTACAGTTTAATGTGTTGTTTATAAAATTGCTGTGGTATATATTCACTGACTGTGCTGGAAGTTCCTTATTTGACTTAATATGCAGCTGTCTTTCTGAATACAAGGACATTGGTATTCCTTTTACATGGTGGTGCTTTTGGCTGTACGTCAGCCATTCAAGGAGGAGGAGAAGCAAATGTTTTTGTAATTGTCTTTTTGTTATTTTTCACCTTGCCAGTATTGTCCTGACAACTACACCCATGGGTAGAAAAAAGTCAAATTTCGTATTAATCAAAGTTGCTTGCCTTTCTTTGATTCAGATTGAAATTT